TTTCCAACTGAACGCTCCTCCATTCAGACAGAACACATATCCAGATTGCGATTTAAAATCGTCTATGTCTGTCTGAAAGCTTGCGTCGGTATAACCTTCAACAACTAATTCTTTTGAACCACCATATACCATAAATTTATCCTTGTTCCTTTTCAGGTACTTTAGGATATTCTTAGCCGCAGTCCAATGGGCCTCTCCTTGATCTGATTGGTAACGGCTCGTAGCACTCAAGGCATACGATACATCTGGCCTAGTACATATCATGGCATACACGATTGATCCAATAAGCGAAGCATATGGAATCAGATTCATTCTTTCCCGCTCATCAGGTGTCTGTGGACACTACTTCTTGCTTAGGTTTATGCCATGTGACATTGGCAGGTGACCTCTTTTGGCCCCTTCCATGCCAAATCGAGCAATTACCTTATCAATATAAGTACTTTGACTCAATCCAATCATCCCTTTTGATGCCTAGTATGAACTGAGCCTCTCCTAAGTCTTTCATTGAGAAACATTTTCCAAACCAGGCCTTTACAGACTCTAACAACGAAATGTTATTTCCAATGAGCAATATTTCATCGACATATAAGACTAAGAAGTCGATGTCACTCCCAATGAACTTCTTGTAAACACAAGATTCATCTAGATTTTTGATAAAACCAAACTTACCAATGGCTTCATCAAATCGCAGATTCCAACTTATGCTAGCTTGCTTTAGTCCATAAATGGACTTCTTAAGCTTACAAACCTTCCCAACATTGTTTTGGTCGACAAAACCTTCTGGTTGTGTCATGTACACAATTTCTTCTAAAATACCATTTAAGAAGGCATTTTTGACGTCCATCCGCCATGTTTCATAGTTATAATATGCAGCAATCGCTAGGAGGATCCGAACGGATTTAAGCATTACGACTGGTGAAAAGGTTTCATCGTAATTTATACCATGAACTTGTCTATAACCTTTTTCCACCCATCTAGCTTTACAAATGGATACATTTCCATATTTTTCGGTTTTCATCTTGAAAATCCACTTACATCCGATAGGTGTATAACCTTTGGGTAAGTCAACCAAGTCCCAGACTTGTTTTTCAAAAACGGAATCCATTTCAGATCTCACGGCCTCATGCCATTTGGCAGAGTCGGTGCTTTCCATCGCTTGCTTGTAGGTTACCGGTTCATCTCCATCAATAATTAGGATGTCCTCTGATATCTCGGTTAATACTAAACCAATATATCTATCAGGTTGAGATCTCGGCCTCTGAGACCTACGTAGGGTAATGGATTGAGCATTTGCATTGTTGGTTTGACTTTGCACATTTTGATCATTTTGACCTGCGTCAACAGATGTTGTTTGAGCACTTTGAATGTCATTCTGATTTTGTTTCTCATCCTCACGAACTTCGTCGAGTTCGATTTTCCTCCCACTTGTCATTTTGGAAAGGTGTTCCTTCTCCAAAAAGACACCATCGCGAGCAACAAACACTTTGTTCTCCGATTTATTGTAGAAGTAAAACACTTTGGTTTCTTTTGGGTAGCCCACAATGTAAACCTTGTCAGATTTGGGATGAAGTTTGTCAGAAATCAATTTCTTGACATATGCTTCGCATCCCCATATCTTTAGAAAAGACAACCTAGGAGGTTTCTTTGTCCATAATTCATATGGAGTCTTTTCTACAGCTTTTGATGGTGCACGGTTCAGTGTTAGTGCCGCAGTTAGAAGTGTGTATCCCCAGAAAGAGATAGGAAGATCACTAAGACCCATTGTTGATCATACCATGTCCAACAAGGTTCGATTTCTCCTTTCGGATACTCTGTTCCATTAAGGAGTTCCCGGAGGTGTAAATTCTGAAAGTATACAATTTTCTTTCAGATGGTCATCGAATTCTTGGCTCAAGTATTCACCACCTCGATCCGATCGAAGGGCTTTGATTTTCTTGCCAAGATGATTTTCAACTTCACTCTGAAATTCTTTGAACTTTTCAAATGATTCAGATTTATGTGACATTAGGTAGACATAACCATATCTACTATAATCATTTGTGAAGGTGATAAAATATCGGTGTCCATTTCTTGTGGTTGAGCTCATTCCACATATATCAGTGTGTATTAGACCTAATAAGTCTCCTGCCCTTTCTCCTAGCTTGGAGAATGGTTGTTTAATCATCTTGCCTAATAAAAATCCCTCGCAATTCTCAAACGATTCTAAATCGAATTAGTCAAGAACACCTTCTTGTAGAAGTCTCTTGATGCGTTTGATGTTAATGTGGCCAAGACGACAATGCCACAAGTAAGTTTGGTTTGACTCCATGGTCTTAGCTCTTTTGGTATTATTATTCACATTATAAACTTGTTTGTCCAGATCAAGCACATAAAGACCATTTTCAGAATGTGCAATACCATATAAAACATTATTATCGAGATAAAACGAACATTTATTGTTTTTTACTTGAAATTCAAAACCCTTGGCGTCCAACGCCGAAATTGAAATGATGTTTTTGGTGATGTTGGGAACATAATAAACGTTATCTAGTTCCAAAACAAGCCCAGTGGGCAAAGACAAACAGAGAGTTCCTACGGATACGACACTAATTTTGGCTCCATTGCCGACCCAGGTTCAACCTCTCCCTTCTCTAGCCTTCTAGCGTTCCTTAGTCCGTGAGAATTGGAACAAAGGTGTGAGCCACATCCGGTATATAATACCCATGATGCTAAGCTAGTGAAGTTAAAGTCTATAATGAATATACCTGAACAGAAGCAACAGTTCCGTTCTTCATATCTTCCTTGAAATTGAGGCAATCTCTCTTCCAATGTCCCTTCTTCTTACAGTAGAAGCATTCGGAATCAGATTTAGAAGATGCTACCTTCTTTCTCCCTTTGTTATCCTTGGTAGTTTTAGGCTTAGGCGGAAAGGTTTTCTCTTGCCCTTCCCCTTAAAGCCTTTCTTCTTTTTGCCTGAGAATTTGAACGGCTTGCCCTTTTTTATCATGAGCATATCATGCTTCCCCTCATCCTTGAGCGTTTGCTCTGCTTGCTTTAACATACCATGAAGCTTGGTGAGGGTTTTCTCCATGTTGTGCATGTTATAGTTCATCTTGAACTGATTATAGCCTTTGTGCAGTGAGTGGAGAATGATGTCAATTGCCATCTCGGTTGAATACCCTTCATCAAGCCTTCCCATGTTCTCAAACAATCCTATCATTTTGAGTACATCTGGGCTGACTGGCTCTCCTTTCTTGAGCTTGCTCTCAAGGACCTGCCTGTGGGTTTCAAACCTTTCGGTTTGGGCCTGCTCTTTAAACATATTTTGAAATTCAGAAATGATCTCAAAAGCTGTCTCCTTCTCAAAGAAAGTCTTTTGAAGCACTGGAGACATTGTGGCCAACATGATGCATTTGACATCTCGATTGGCACTTTGCCATCGATTTAGGGCAGCTTGAGTCACCTTCTCATTGGGAGCCTCGGGCATTTCCTCATTAAGGTCATATTCCTTTTGCTCTTTCATGAGAACAATTCGCAAGTTCCTTTGCCAATCAAGAAAATTTGGCCCACTCAACTTCTCCTTGTCGAGAATTGAGCGTAACGAGAATTGGCTGTTTGAGTTATTTGAAGACATGATTCTACAATTGAAAGAATTTTAATGAAAAACCATTCATGAAATTTAAATAAGATTGAATTCATGCATTTTAATCAAACTTATTTAAAACATCTTATTCACACATTTAAAGTTGTCCCCAATTTGGTGAGAATAAGTCGATTCTAAGATCCGAAGAAACAAAGAGTGGTTAAGCATGCTTTGGCTTGTCTTAACACTCAATCTCCTAAGGTAAGCAACACTTTGCTAATGGCTCCAAGCCACTCTTGGTTGAATAAATCGTCGCATCTAATGCTCTCTCAACAATTTATTCACTTTGCCACGACATGTTAGGACTCCATCACTCATATCGTTGAGTACAACCAAAACCAACTTGCATACCCGGTATGCCTTTCTTCCTAGGAGAGGTAGTGATGCCTCGCTTTGGCGTAGCCCATCACTACCCTCGTTCGGCCGGTAAGTGTTGTTTTGGAATGGCAAATTTTCACTAGTTGAAAAAAGGGCTTTGTCAGCGGTTCAAACCCGGTCTAAGGCACTGGTTTGAACCGCATTCTATGTGGGGGGTGCCAAATACCCCCCTTTTTAGCACCGGTTCAAAACCGGTGCCCTATACCCAAATTGGCACCGGTTAACCGGTGCCTTTAACTGTTTTGGGCACCGGTTAACCGGTGCCTAAAATAGTCTCCCGCCATTTTTTTTGGGGTGGTAGCTAGTTTTGGCACCGGTTAACCGGTGCCTTTTTACTCAATTTTTTTTCCAATTTTCGCGCAATAATATTTTAAAAAAAAACCTGTTTCCAGCAATAATAATAACCTGTAATTCCAACAATTATATTAAATAAAATAATTAATAATATTATTATTATAATTACTAATAATAATATTATTATTAAATATTACAATAAGATACAAAAATAATATTAAAAAAAAGAATTCATATATATATATATATATAGATATAAATATTCCCAAACGCAATACATTAAAAAAAAGGTGTTATATATATATATATATATACAAATGATAGTAAGTAAATATATAATGAATAACAATATCACTACTACAATAATGACCTAAGGTAACACCACATGGTATCACTTTTAAGGATAGAACCTTAATTAACTTATAAGTAACACTATTGTAACACTTTGACATTATGTAACACTTGATTGTAACACTTTGATATTAAGTATCACTTGATTGTAACACATGAATATTAAGTAACACTTGATTTTAACACTTTGATAGAAGTAGCACTCACTAGTAGAAAAATGTAAAAAAGCAGCAACCACTAGTCCACTACTACTTAGAAAAGAAAAAATGCATCCAAAGAAAGGTATCAATTCTCAAATCTTGCTAAAAAACTAGCCTTAATTAAAAAGTTCTCAAATACTGCTAAGAGTATTTTTTTTTTCTTTTTTTGAAAGGACTCTTTTACTTAATTTAGATTTGTTTATTTCATTCAATCTAGTCTGACAGTCGACACCCCTCACTTTCTTTGTCTTTCTTTGCAGTGAAGGTGAAGAATGTCATCCACCACCGCACTCAAGTCTAGGCCGTGCAGCCACCACCACCTCTACCTTAAGCTGAAGCCGCACCACCACCTCTTTTGCTCTCCTGCAAACCGCGCCATCAACACCACCTCTAATTGTAAGTTTTTTTTTTCTTTATTTTGATTTAGGGTTATTTAATTATTTTAATTTATGATTTAGGGTTTTGTTTTTAGGGATTTTTTTTTTATTTTACAGTACAAAAGGCGACAGTTCTGTGAATTTGGGAATTTTTTTTTTTGTTTTGCAATTACTTGCTTTTTATTTCTTGTTGATTGCTGTTGTGAATTTGTTAGGATTAGGAGCTGATCTTGGATCTTCTTCGTTATATTTTTATGAGAAAGGTATAAACTTTTCTAATTTCATTAATTTTGAGTTCTGATGATTTTGATTTGTGTGAAAGTTTTGATTTGTTAGCTTATTCACTTGAATAATGAAATATGATTGTTAGATATATTCTGATACTTGGGTAGTTAGTTTTTTGTGCTATATTGTTGTGAAGGTTTGAAACTAGTTTTGAAATCTTAAACTTGATCATCTTAATAGGATGTGTTAAATTTAGAAAGGAAAAGGGTCTACTTATGAAAGTTCTAGTTTTCCTGCTTTCAATATTTAAATACTTGATTGTCAGATTTCCATGTATTTGGTGGAGAGTTTATGAAATGGTCGGGCGGTTAATCTGATGTATGTTATCTTAATTATTCGAATCTTATTGTCAATAAGATAGTGAAAGTCAGACTAAACTAGTACAGTAATGATCTAACAATATCACAACTAAACTTTTGATTTAGGATGGGTATTATGGGGCTTTGCTTTACCTTACTCGGGTATCTTTGGTCTTGAGTTTTTGTTTCGTGATTTCGCATGTATTAGGAATCATCTGGCTTGCTATTATGATAATGGCAAGAGTTGATCTGATAGTATACGCAGCATGATTCGACCCTCTGACAAACCACCTTGGTAGTTTAATATAAGGAAGCAAGAATTTGAAAAAAAAAAATCATCACTCTATCTTAAGTCTTAACTTTTACTTGCAAACTATGATTGAGTTCTGGTATCAGCTATTCATGGTATATGAGATCATTAATATGTCAATTTTAGCATTTTTTTTATTCATTTGCCTTACAATCCTTAGAAATTTGAACTGACAATTTGACATAGCTGAACTGCATTCTACTAATCAAATTTGAACGTGGTTTTTCTGATTCTGATGCTCTGAAAATGGCCTTTACAATAGGGTTGTGTTTATGTGCTCAACAACAGAGGTCATATTATTTTTGTTGCAGGATTAGATCCTTGACACCAAGCAAACCCTAGTAAGAAGTGGTATGGAGTTCTTTAGTAATTGGTTTACTTCCTTTTTAAGGATGTTTTGAAATAGTTATATAATGGTTCTTCAGGTTTTTCTACATTACTCACTCACTTCTACTATGATGACTGATGAGATTGGTAGTTGAAATATTTTCTATATCCTACTTGATGTACTTACTTTAAATTTATCACAACATCTCTCAATGTACTTGCTTTAGTTTTATCACCACATCTCAATATTGTTTATATATGATATGTATTAATGTCTTGCCCAAGTTTATTCTTGCTACTAAAGTTTCTTTGGATATGCTATGTATTTGTACTTTCACGGCATTATCATTCATAACCATATTAGTATTCTGTTGCCAGTCTTGCCACTGTTTTCAGTTGCCTTCCTCTGTTCATATTCCATATTTTATTTTAAGTATTCTTATAATGGCTATCTTAAGCTTTCTAATAAGTTGGATTTTATGCTGCTACTACATCTTTGTTTATTCTTGTACTTGTACATCCCAGGCTCCCTAACTCTTGCTTTTGATGTTGATATTTACAACTCTATCTAACTTGCATCGTAGAATCCATGTGATATGTCTGTTTCAACGAGCTTTTCTTTGAGTTGTTCATTAAAGAGTATTTTCAATAATATACCTCATTGATTATGGCTACTTTAAGGTACTTTGACCATACTTGTATTGACTCCGTTTAACCAATCTTCCTATGTGGTCCTGAAAGCATGCACATTACTATTTTTTTTTTTTTAATATTTTTCATTCTTGCATCGTTTGTACCTTTATGATATAAGTCATATAACATTAGAATTTTTTATTTTTATATCTTATGGAAATGTATTCTTAAATGCATGGAAATGGTTTTATATGTCATATACCTCTTAATGCAGGAGCTGTAGTGCCTGCGTTGTCATTCAACAACTTTTCTTATCATATCATGGTTGACAATTTTTATGTCTGCATCTTCAAAGGATCTGCCTTTTACGGTTCAAGAGGTTAAAGATTCCTACTTAGTGAGATTTTGTTGCTGCCTTGCTACTTCCCTCCTACTGACGACATTGATGCCCCTGCTACTTCACGTTCTGCTCTGCTAGGCTGCTACTTCACGTTCTGCTGTTGGGATGCTACTTCACATTCAACCTTTGCTAGAGCATCTGCTGTTGTTGCTTTAAGTTATTTATTTTCAAAAAATAAAAAAAATGTATATCTTCAAGTTTCTATTGGTCAAAAATAATTGGTGTTTATGGGTGTTTTTTTTAAGAAACTATGAAATTATATCACTTCACATTTTGGTATATCGTATATGTTAATTTCACATTTGTGATCATTGTATATGTTAATTCTTTGTAATTTGATTGAAAAATGTGATACATAATGTCGAATAAAGTGCTACTATATGTCAAAATATGAATGAAAAATGTTACCTAATAATCAACAAAGTGTTACATTAGTTCAAAAAAGTGATACATAATGTTGGATAAAGTGATACTTTATGATTGAAAAATGTTACTAGAAATAAGTAAGTGTTACATAAGAAATAAAAAGTAACACTTTAAAAATGATACTAATAATATAAAAAGTGGTACATAAGAGGATTTCTAGTATCATTTTTAAAAGTGTTACCATAAGTTACCCGAAGTGTTACATAAGACCTTAGGTATGGGCGGAAGTATCACCCAATAAAGTGTTACCTATTGTCTATAGTAACACTTTTACCACTTTATGTAACACATTTTGGGTGTTACTTGAGGTTAGTTTTCTACTAGTGTATATATAGTTCAAAAGTTAACATAAATAATTTATAATTAAAATGTCATTTACATGTTGAAGGTGATAAAAGACGCCAACATGTCACGAACTTCATTAAGCTCCTTGATTGTCAACGGACCATCCTTTTGGACCTTGCAAAACTTGAAATACAAAAACATTATGTTAGAATTAATTAATTAGACAAAACAATATGTATTTTATCAAATATTACCTATATGACTTCTATGTAGCCCATTTCCTACATTACTTATCAAATGAACTATTTCTTTCTCATAGCATGTCAATGTTGGATAGTTTTATGTGTCTAAGCCCTAAAATTGAATCAAAAGAGCATTTTATTAAGGTTTATGACGCTTTTTACTCAAAATAGCCCGAATATGGCCTATATGACTTTACTTTGCCCATTTCCTACATTTCTTATTAAATGAACTTTATTTATCTCATAACATGTCAATATTATCTAGTTATAGGTGTATAAGGAAAGAAATCACATGAAAAGAGCATATTAACACAAAATGGCCCAAATATGGCCCATATGACTTCTATTCAGCCCATTTTCTACCTTTCTTGTCAAATGACCTTTTTATTTCTCATAACATGTCAATGTTGGGTAATATTAGGTGTCTAAGGCTAGAAATCACATCAATATAGCATTTCATTAAGTTTTAGGACTTACCTCATCAAGTTGTTGAGTGTCCGTACAATGAGTCACAATGTCAAGCATGAATCTCATCACATACAAAGCACAATCAAGTCCATTATCTTTTTATGTGCACTAGCATATGACAAACAAATCACATCAGTGAAACATGCAAAGGAAATTAGCAAATATTTACTAACATAGATTTTGAAAATAATCACAATATCATGTAAATTACCAACGGTTCCTTCCCCTTTCTAACCTTTTCTTGAGGCCACAATTCTGGACGAATCCCCATCTCTTTCAAATCTAACCGTGCACCCTTTCCGTCCTTTGTTTTGCCTTGGATATTCATAAGCGTTCCAAAAAGAGCATCACACACATTCTTCTCTATATGAATCACATCAAGACAATGCCTAACGTCATGTTCTCTCCAGTACGGAAGCTTCCAAAAGATTGATTCTTTCTTAAACAGAGCAGCTGAGACCACAGTTTTTCTGATTTTCCAAACACCGTTTGTATCCCTTTCACCCGAGCACAAATATCAGCACCAGTCAATGGTCTAGGCGCAGTATCCTTTTCCACGGTTCCATCGAAAGCCTTTTTCTGCCTACGGTACGGGTGATCACGCCTAAGGAACCTTCGAGTCCGTAGGTAGACATCTTTGTGAGAATGAGTAAGGTATACGCTTGATGTGTCATCAATACATATGGGGCATGATTTTTTCCCTTTGACCTTGTACCCACACAAGCTGCCATATGCAGGGAAGTCATTCATGGTCCACATAAGGGCTGCACGCAATGTGAACATCTCGTTCTTATGAGAATCAAAACAAGAAACCCCTTCATCCCACATCTTTCTCAAGTCGTCAATAAGCGGCGCAAGGTAAACATCTATGTCGTTTCCAAGTTGCTTAGGACCAGTTATTAGCAATGAAAGCATTACTTACTTACGTTTCATGCACAGCCAAGGAGGCAAATTATAAATCACTAAAAGTACCGGCCATGTGTTGTGTTGGGTATTAAGAGTGCCAAATGGATTCATCCCATCTGTGCACAACCCAAGCCTTAAATTTCTAACTTCATCACCAAATTCCCTCTGCATGCCATCTCAAGTTTTTAGCATCTTTTGGTATTTAGAACAAACGCTTAAACCTTGGAATAATGGGAAGATACCACAACACCTTAGCAGGAGGTCCCTCCGTGCCCGGATTGCAACTCATGCGCTTGTAGCGCGACCGCTTGCATCGTGGACACTCATGCAGTTGTTCATACTCATTTCGATACAGAATACAATCATTAGGACATGCATGTATCTTCTTATACTCCAAACCAAAGGGACACATGAGCTTCTTTGCGTAATAGTAAGACTTAGGAATTTCATTCCCATCAGGCAACATATCACTTAATGCGGTCAACAAAGAAGTAAAACTAATGAGTTTTTCATACTTAATGCTTCGACTCAATGTTGAAAAGTGTTAGCACGGCCGATAGTTTGGAGTATTTTTTGCACCCGAGATACAACAGCTTTTTGGAAGCCTCCGATAATAACTCAAAAACTCCACTTTAAATACCATTCAACATCTCATCCACTTGTTCATCCTCGACCTCATCCGCCTAATCATCATCGGCTCCATCCTCACCATTATCAACAATATAGTCATCATTCTTGTATTCCTCGTCCACATGAATCTCATTGCTTCTAACACGCACATCATTCCGATCAAGATCCCCACTGTACTCTCCACTTTCTCCGTGCCAAATCCACATATGGTATAATTTCCTAAACCCACGGCATAATACATGATCTCTAAGATTTCAACACTATCGACCACATTCACATTATTACAATCAACACAAGGACAATAAAGGCCTTTGCCACCCAGTTTGTGTTGATAAGCTAAAGCCCTCTCGCAAAACTCTTGAACCCCATTCCAAAATTCCAATGTATCGCGTCTACCATACATCCAACCACGATCCTTTTCCATTTAGTAAATTGTCTCTAAACATATATAGCAACATATAATGAATAATGTTTAATTGCTACATATTTTATGTAAATCAAATTCAAGTACAAAACGTGAATATACCATTCATATAGTGAAAAATTGCATGTTTCCAAAGGGTCCTTATCACTCCAACCTAACCCATCCTTGAATGTATACTCTCACTAGTGAATGTATGTCAACTTTCCAATTTTAAGGAAAATCCGACAGCATTCCCCCTAGTTCTCCAAGTACACGATGTGGATAATTAATTACCCACATATGTACCCAGAGAACATAGTGAGGAAATGATAAGCCAAGATGTTCCTTAAAATCGAAAAGAAAACATACATTAACCACCTAAGTGAGAGTACACATTTAAGAACAGTCCCAACCGGGGACTATTCAAGACTTTCTCCTAATGAGAAAGCCTTGAACGGGTATCTAGGCATATGATGATGCAAGTATTCTATATATTGTTGTATTTATTTGCAATTAAACAATACACAAGTTGCAATTTTATGAATAAACTTTTATTAAATTGATAAATAGAAAGAAATATAGCTAAGTAAAGTTTATAAGTCATACCAATATAGCAACTACCCACTTGAGCTCAATATGTAGTCCTCAAGCTAAACTCGTGCTTTAATTCACAAATCTATTAAAAAAAACAATAAACAAAAATTAGGTTAAATATTAGGTATGTACTCTTTCTCATAACATGTCAATTAACTAATTTATTTATAAGTTAAAACACATCATTCATCGAACTAACAATTGCTAAACAATGTATTCACTACTTTAATTCATCTAATTTATTCAAAATTGCTAAAATAACAAGGTTACTAATCTCTAATTTTTTCAAAATTACCCATCAAAACAACTTAAAAGTAACCATTCACCCGTTCCAAAATTCATTTACTTTAGTAACAAACAAGGTTACTAATCTCAAATTTATTCAAATATACCCATCAAAACAACTTAATATTAACCATTTAAACTTTCCGAAATTCAACTTATTTAATAACAAGGTTTTAATCTCTAACTTATTCAAAATAACCCATCAAAACAACTTCAAATTAACCATTAAAAGTAAAATACAAAATTTTAACTATTTAAGTACCAAGGTTAATATATATTATATAATTAATTCAAAATTATCAACCAAAACAAATTAAATTAATCATTAAAACATAAAAAAAAATCCAACTAATTGATAAATATCACTAATATTTTCACAAATTCCAAAAAACAACCTAAAATTGAGAAAAATTGGAGCATAATTATATTAAAACCAAATTTTAATTTGCAAAGAATGATACCAATTGTTGTTTTAAAGAATACTACAAGAAGGGGGGGTTGAATTGTAGTATGAGAGATTAGCCAAACTTTTTGCGGAATTAAAATTAAGTTAGCTAAAGGAACTGAAAGATTAACTAAAGGAACTAAAGAATGCAAGAGAGATTTTACGTGGAAAACTCCTTGGCCCTAACAAGGAGAAAAACCACGACCACTTGGGATTTTGGGAAAAGAATCTTCACTATCACTACTAGAATTTTTGTGGTTTTTAGACGCTTTTAGGCATATTTTTGACACCAAAAGCGTCGAAAATTATTTTCTCGACGCTTCTAAAAAGCATCGAAAAATAGTGAGTCGAGAAAATTCCTCTACGCAAAAACCGTCGCAAATATCGACGCTTTTTATTGTCCAAATTCGTATACGAGGCGTCGATATTTGCATTGTGTCGCGCATTTTCGTAAATTTCTCGACGCTTTTTTGTGTCTAATCGCATATTTGGCGACGCTTTTTTAAGTCTCTGATTTCATACTTTAAATGTACGATATTCTACCGACGCTTTTTTGTGTCCATAATTTAAAATTGGGTAACACCTTTTCAAGTCCATATTCTCTATAAAAATATCCAATGTGGAAAATATTTATATTACTTGCAAAGATACTCCATATCGTAGTATTAAAAAAAAATCAGAAGAAAAAGTTTACCCATAAATAGAATTTATTCATAATTAAACAAGAGTACAAATTATTATATGTATACATATGTAAAATAATGCAAAAAACTATGAATATATTCTAACATTATTAAACTAATATTCATTTACAAGACATTCGATCTCTTAAACTGCTAACATTAAATAAAAATGCATAGTTGCAATACTACCACTATTTCGAAAAACACGCAACTTCTCTCTATTGAATTGGAGCTAATTTAACGTCTTCATGGAATGACTTGATTAATTTGTAGACTTGACACATATAATAGTCATAACATCCTGCATCAATAACAAGCATGTTAGAGCTGGAAGTTAAAATTTGCCATTTATTTTTGTTGGTTGAATAAAACATGTTTCTAGTTAGTGAATTATAGTCCTAACAAGACAAATTATATTAGATTGAAAAGACAGACTACAGATTAGTAATAAAAAATGTAACCAGCTGCATAACAAGGTTTCTAACACTAGTTACCTCTGGTTTCATTGCTTAAGAGTACTGAAATTCTTAGTCCACAACACTAAAGTACTTCATGCTGCCAAATACATACTGATGTAGGAAATCAAGAGTTCCATCAATTATAAAACAATGCAAGTTTGAGAAACCTGCTTCGTAGTTTTTATAGTTGCATCTCAGGTCCTATATTATGAAAGAAAGAAACAAGAAAGAGAAAGGACACACAGATGATCTAGATTCCAAAAACAATTGTTGCTCGTGTGGCATGAGACATAATAAAGACCTTAACGCGGGCAAAGCACCTACTTATCATCTTAGGAAGCCCACCCAACTTAAATTTAGCCACTTCATGTTTAACTAAAGCAAACACACCCAACTCAAAGCAATAAACCCGCATAGGCTTTAAGAGAGCAATAAACATCCCCGTTGCGATAGAACTATGGCAGCAGACCACTGAAATTTCCAAAAGGCACAACTTCTAGCACACAATTCCAAATTTAGAAATTCTTGAGTCTATATTGGATAACTTTTCAAGATCTATATCTTTCATGAAGGGATTATGGGATAATATCAACTGCAAGTATATCATTTTAAGACAAACAAAACTGCAGCTCAAGGCAACTAAAATTAGTACTACGACAAATCTAAAAAAAAAATCTAATTGTTGAAAAATCTAAAACACCGACAAAACCACATAACAGATATGATCTCCCACAAAAAGTAATCCAACATAACTAGGAGGCTTCTCTTGTCACTCTAGAAAAAATGTTCCTACCCAAAAGACAGGTTTGATTTCTTATAAATAACTTAAGGTTTCAGTCTTTTAGATGTTAAAAGGAGTTTAATATTTAATCTAGCTTGCATTGTTTTTTATTTGGAAATATCAGTACATACTTAAGCTTCCCAAAATAACAAAAAATAAGGTTTAAAATGGTTTAGTCACACACTAATACTCACACCAATCCATCTAAGTAACTCCAATTATTTAATTTTTTGGGACGAGTAAGATACTAAGTACTACTCCCGTAATACTTGTATGTAATTACTTCCTAAAGAAGAGAATAAAATAAAAAGTTAAAGTAACAACCATAAATTCAAGAAAATAGCCAAATTCCCCATTCTGTTTAAACAATAAGAACTTTGCAATTAAGAAACCAACCAATTACTCCAAAAAAAATTCATAGCAAATCGTACAAAAAAATAAAAACACAAAACCCCACTTATTTACTCAATCAGATCAGAAATTAAGCAAAAATTGAAACAAAATGGCCAATTTGACATCAAAATTAAACCACAACAATTATAAAAAGCAAAATAACAGAAGAAAAAAAAGAGAAGAAATTCTAACCTGGATAAATTCATTGACCTCTAAAGCAACGTTGAATCTAGCAAAATAATACGGCATAATAAGGACAGGCATAACTCAAAAAGTGAAGACCAGATCTGTAAAGGGAGGAAAATAACCTAGCTCAACCAATAAGGATTGAATTTGAACCCCAATTGCTACTCTGAAATTTCATAATAAGTACATTAGTTAAATTTGCAACAAATTAAACTCATTTATCTCAATACCTCTCTCTCAGTGGGGTTTCTACTAGAGAAGCATAAACAAAACCCTTAAATCTCTGTTCTTCATGAGTTAACCCTCTATCATCATTAAATCGTAACATTTCTAAAAATTAAAACTCTAGATCTAAAATACTCAATTTTAACAAGAAATTAAAAAAATAATAAAAAGTACCTTTGAATAATTACTAACTAGCACAAAGGAATGAGAGAAAAGAAAATTCCGCTTCCCAATTTATAAGAACCACGCTAAAAATACAGATCCAAATCCTAATTCCATGAATCTCTTAGTGTTTTTGGAGAACTGGGTACGGAGAAAGATGAAAAAAAATTAAAACTGATGAAACTATGAGAGTTAGGGTATGTAGAGCGGCGGTTTTATTATCCTATAATGTAATGCCATGATGCGGGCCAAAAGAAATTTGTCACGTGCCGTGCAGGAAGGTATATCTCGACGCTTTTACGTGTCAAAAATAAATTTTGACTTAAATAAGCGTCGAGGATACACGCGTACTATATCAAGCAGCTGACGCCCCTTACACTGTGTCGAGCTCACAGCGTCGCTAAATTACGCATTTTGTAGTAGTTCTATAATAGGGCAAATGATCCTATTACAAGCTAACGACTCAAACTCAAGTTCCTCTACGAACTTGAGACCCTGAGGAACAAGTCACCCAACTTGTTACTCTTCTCTTCTCTTTCTCTCTTCTCACTTCTCTGTTCTCACTTCTCTATTCTCTTCTCTTTCTCTCTTCTCTTTCTCATACACAAACATTCACTCGAATTTCCCCATTCCCCAAATTACAACTCGAAAAGTAAACAAACTCTAGTATAAGAACATTAAGAACACTCTAATGGACTTGTGTGGAATTGACACTTGACTCGATTTGAAGCTTGACAACTTATGTGAGCAAGGGTGAGTTTTTCCATCTGAAATCATGAACTATTTATAGAGCAATAAACGTATTATAAAAACTTCTTTGTGCAGCAAATCCATCATGCCACTACTCATACCCACTAAGAAGATCATGTCCCTTGAATTAAGGAACCATGAACTCCTCAATGTGCAAAACCATGACTGAAGAAGAACATGGGAGAGTAGGCCGCAAGTTTTGGAAAACATGGGAGATTTTATTTTGTTAAATATATTTTCCGAAAATCAGAAAAAAGAATAAAATAAAATCTTTTTTAATTTGAGAAAAAGATAAACGTTTAAACTAAAACAGTTTTCCTAAAAACTAGCATGCACAATATTTTATCCTAAGACCAATTCCACACAGATTTTTCGAGTGCAAATTAATATCTTATACTTACATCAATCCTAAAATATAAAAATATATTTAGTCTTTATGTTCTCTGATGAAGCTTCTACTCCGAGGCTTCTGTTCCTTGAGAGGAACTTCTCTTCTCTGATGAGGCTTCTTCTCTGAAGCTTCTGTTCCCAGAGGGAACCTTCTCTTCTCTAGTCTTCATTTCTGAAGCACCAGTTCCTGTGAGGGAACTCTTCTATATGGCTAGCTCTACTTCTGGCCTTCTTGTTCCTCATGGTATTTTTACAAGACACTTCATTCTCCTAGTCTTTGTAATTGAGTACACACTTAAACAATCAAGCACTTATTAGTTTGTAAGTAACTGAGGTTGTGTCATCATCAAAATCATTAAGTCCAACAATATTCCCCCTTTTTGATGATGACAAACAAACCAAACTTACTTACAAGGAAACAGAGATAATCCGTTTTATTCCTAAAGAAAGGAAATGCAAAAACAAAATATAATGCAGAATGAAAACTAATGTTAAGGAAATAAAAACAATGCATAAATAAATAACTTTAAGGAAAAATTGAAAAACTTGAAAAAACTTGTATATACATTATACCTGCTTGTAGAGTGTAGGCAGCTTGTGAAGATATCGAGCAGAGACCATAGAATGATTAAGTTTTCCCCCTTTTCGCATTATAAAAAACTAACACACACATGTATAGTATACCATAACACAGCACCATCTAGTGGTTTAGTTTAATACAAGAAGCATGCATAGAGAGAAAATATTCACAAAGCATATAGGCAAAATAAACATAGATTATAAGCATCCAAAACCGATTTAAAACATCGACCAAATGTACCAAATTTGCAAGTTTGCCAAAAGAAATTAAAAAGTGCCCAAAATATTACAGACGGAAATAAAAATTGTTCCCAAAAGCAGATAAAATATAAGTTTAATCAACATAAAAAGGCTGCAGAGAAAGGTAGGTTAAGAAGAAATGCTCTGGTCATCATCAACAACAAGATCCTTCAGCTTCTTGTTGATTTGAGACACTATGTCCATCACAGTGGACTATCTCCCCTGTTATGAGCTCGTGACCAGTTCCTTCACATCAGCATCTAGAGTGAGCACACTCTTCTTCAATTCTTCCATCTTCACCTTTGACTGCTCTTGTTTCTTCAGCATATTCTGGAGCATCTCCTTCATCTCCTTCACATCTTCGCTGGGAACCTTAGGTGGGGAACTGAAAGCTGTAAAACCTGTACCTGTAGATGCATACTTTGCCCGAAATAGGAGAGCTTGTGACTTTATGCAAATCCTCTTGCACCCCTGAGATATCAATGCAAATGGGGGCAAAGGTCTCCTTTTTCTTCATCAACCTCAAGCTCTTCCTTTTCTTCCTTCTCCCTGTCTCAATCACTTCCTCAACCACCTTTTTCTCTTCCTCCTCCTGAATTTCCTGAACCACTCCCTCTATTATCCCAGTAGCTCTCTCTTCTTCCCCCTCAGCTATGTCACCTACTTCCTTTGGCCTTTTATCCTTTTCCTCCAGCACAACCTCAAAACATCCATCTAGAACCTTCATCTTATGGTTTTCAAGGAAAATAGGCTGCATGTACTCGGTGTTTTTGAGGGCAGGGGTTCTTTATCAACAAAGGAAATGCCAAAGCTTTCAAAGACATAGGTGAGAAGATTACCATATCCCACCTTCCAACCTTTTGGAACACAGTGGGAGAGGTGTTGGACCATGATAGAGGGAAAGTTGATTGGGATCTTTTTGGCTAGGCAGTAAATGAGAACAGAGTCAAGCCCGTTGGCACTGTCTCTCTTTTGGGTGCGAGGGATAATATCATTGAAAACAAACTTTAGCAGAATTTTGTCAAGAGGGGTTAGGTCATTGTGATTTATGTAGGTTTCCTCCGGGTCTCCACCTAGAAACTCTACTATCTCATCAATATTTTCATCAGGAAAAGGGTTCCTTATCACATTACTTTTAAAATACAAGTCATATCCAATATTAGGAACATCAAACAACTCAGCCAAGTACTCGCACCAAACTCAATTTATTTTTCATACACACAGCAACGAATAACACCTTTAGAGTATTTGAAACTTTTGCAAAAATCCCTCATAGCATCAACATACATACTCCGATTAAAGCATTCACTCAACAAATTCACCCAATTTTGAGCCTCAATTAAATCAAGCAGTTCATACAACTTAACAGACTTACACCGAGGAAGATAAATAGCCAAACCTGTCACAAAGTGATCACTAATCTTTTCTTGCCTTTTCATGGTTGCTGGCTTGTCTTGGTAATTGACCCCTAGTTCCGGAGCGCTTTGTTCTTCTTCTTGCATGTCATCAGACTTCCTTTTTCGAGAAGACTGAGATTCGGTGGTTGAATCCACTTTTGGAGGCTCTTGGTCTTCAATGGGAGTAATTTCCGGTGGGATTTCCATGGTAATGTCTGGAATTGGGTTTGTGTTTAAGTCGGCTTCAATTTGGGTTTTTGGAGAGTTAGACATTGGAGAGTAATTTTGATAGGAGTGATGAGAGAGAAGGTAATTTTTGTGTGGTGTAAATTTTTGTGAGGTTGACATCTTTAATGGTGGAGGTAAATTGGTGAAGTGAGGTGTCGCTTGGGAGGTGAGGTGAATTTAGTTGATTTGACACTCATATTTATTGCTTAGGGAAACGCAAACCGTGTTTCAAGAGAGTAATGTAAGTGGGATACTTTTTGAACAAAAGATAATGATGAATTTAGATGTATTCATCCGATTTTTTGTGTTTAGATAAAAAAGAATTTGGAATTTTGAAAGATATATAAACACAACAATTTTATCTCTTCAATTTTATCAGTAAAGAACACTTGCAAATACAACTTGATACATGGAACAAATCAACAAGGCTCATGCAACCAATTTTGGACTTTCCATATTCTATGACTTTCAAATTTTACATGCCCTTAGTAAATATTACTCCTGCTCACAACCTGTCTTAACTATATAATTAAACAGATAACACTTGTGCACAGTATGCAACAGATTAAGCATGTCAGTTTGAGCTTCATACCTGAGGGAACTTGATACATTTTTCTCAGTATAACTTAATCATCCCAAGTTCCATTCTCATCTTCTCATGCCTTTCTCTATTCAAGGGTTTTGTTAAAATATCTGCAATTTGATTGTCAGTTTGGCAGAAATCTAATTTAATCAAACCCTTTTCAACATTATCCTTAAGGAAATGATGCCTTATATGAATATGCTTAACTCTTGAATGATGGACTGGATCTTTAGATATGCAAATTGCACTAGTGTTATCATAGTAGATAGTAATGCAATTAAATTTAATACCAAAGTCACGCAACTGTTGTTTAATCCAGAGGACTTGAAAGCAAAAAGCAGCTGCTGCTACATACTCATCCTCTGCAGTAGACAATGCAACAGTATTTTGTTTCTTGGAACCCCAAGAAACTAGACAAGAGCCAAGGAACTGAACCATACCTGAGGTGCTTTTCCTATTGACTAGGTGACCTGCATACTCAGAATCTGTGAATCCTCTAAGCATAAAGTCATCACTTCTAGGATAGAACAGACACAGGTCATCTGTTCTTTTGAGGTATATCAGAATTCTCTTAACAGTCGTTAGATGTGATTCTTTAGGATTAGACTGAAATCTAGCACACAATCCAAAACTAAAAGAAATGTCAGGCCTACTGGCTGTTAGATATAGCAATGAACCAATCATACCTCTGTAAGTAGTTTGATCCACACTTGTTCCTTGTGGATCCTCATCAAGTCTTGTTGTTGTTCCCATAGGTGTATGATTTGTCTTGGCATTCTCCATGTTGTACTTCTTCAGAAGTTCCTTGACATACTTCTGTTGGTGAATCATTATTCCTTCAGCTGTTTGCTTTATTTGAAGTCCAAGGAAGAAATTTAATTCACCCATCATGCTCATCTCAAATTCACTACCCATTAGCTCAGCAAAGTACTTGCACAAACTATTGTTAGTAGCACCAAATATAATATCATCTACATAGATCTCTACAACTAACAAATCAGTTCCTCGAGATTTAAGAAAAAGAGTTTTGTCTACTTTTCCTCTTTTGAAATCATTTTTCAGTAGGAACTTTGAAAGCCTTTCATACCAGGCTCTTGGAGCTTGTTTAAGCCTGTAAAGAGCTTTATCAAGCTTAAAAACATGATTTGGAAATTTAGGATTTTCGAAACCTGGAGGTTGTTCAACAAACACCTCCTCATTTAAGAAACCATTAAGAAAAACACATTTCACATCCATTTGATAGAGTTTGAAACCCATAAAAGAAGCAAAAGCTACTAGGATTCTAATAGCTTCTAATCTAGCTACAGGAGCAAAGGTTTCATCGAAATCAATACCTTCCTGTTGGTTGTAGCCCTTCACAACCAATCTAGCCTTGTTCCTCACTATGGTGCCATGTTCATCAAGCTTGTTCCTGAACATCCATTTGAGCCCAATTACTTTCTTTCCCTTAGGCTTTGGCTCAAGGTGCCAGACTTTGTTCCTTTCGAACTCATTGAGTTCCTCTTGCATGGCCACTATCCAATCAGCATCTCCCAAGGCTTCTTGATGATTTCTTGGCTCTAGAATGAACAGAAATGCATGGAATACGCAGTAGTTCCTCATTTGTGATGTTGTTTGAGTTCCTTTTCCTACATCACTGATAATTAGATCAGTTGGATGGGAACCTTGATACTTGAATGGCCTGGGTTGAAATTCCCTTGCTGGAACTCCAATTTGAGGAGCTTCTGGTTCTGTTCCTTCTGCTTCTTCTGCTTGTTCCTCATTCACCTGTTCATTTGGTTGAGGAACCTCTCCATTTTCTTGATGTTCCTCTTCTAGAGCAGGCTGCTTTTCCTTGGTTTGCTTTTGAGTCTCTTCTTCATCCCTGTCTCTTATCAATCCAATTTCAAAATCATTATCATCTTCTTGTTCCTGCACACTCACAAATTGGTTAACTTCATCAAAGATTATATGAATGCTTTCCTCAACACACATTGAGCTTTTATTGTAAACTCTATAAGCTTTGCTATCAATGGCATATCCTAGAAATATGGCCTCTTCACTTCTTTCATCAAATTTCCCTAGGTTTTTCTTACCATTGTTATGTACAAAGCACTTACAACCAAAGGCTCTAAGATGAGATATGTTTGGCTTCCTTCCCCTGAATAGTTCATAGGGAGTCTTGTTGATGATACTTCTGATTGTTACCCGGTTAAGGATGTAACATGCTGTATTCACGGCTTCAGCCCAGAATTTCCTTGGCAATCCACTTGCAATGAACATCGTTCTAGCCATTTCCTCAAGGGTTCGATTATTTCTTTTTACAACTCCATTTTGTTGGGGAGTCCTTGGAGCTGAGAAGTTATGATTCATGCCATTTTCCCTGCAAAACTCATCGAATCTTGAGTTCTCAAATTCAGTTCCGTGATCTGATCTGAGATGGACTATGGAGTGACCACTGATTTTCTGTATTTTCTTGGCAAAAGCAACAAACTCGTTAAAAGTTTCATCTTTACTAGCAAGAAAAATAACCTAAGTGAATCTAGAATAATCATCAACAATAACCAAAACATATTTCTTGCCATTCCTGCTTTGAGTTCTCATGGGACCACACAAATCCATATGGATTAATTCCAAAGGCTTTGTAGTGCTTACCATTTTCTTCAATTTAAAAGATGAGCGAACATGCTTGCCTTTCACACATGCATCACAAACTTTGTTCTGTAGGAACTTGATAATAGGAAGTCCTACAACCAAGTTCCTTGACCTCAACTTGTCCAGTAATGAAAATCTAGCATGTCCAAAACGTTTATGCCATAGCAGGGGATCATCTTCAACAACACTCAGACATGTAAGGCTGTTCCTTGGGATTAAGTTGAGGTCAACTGTATAAGTGTTCCCTCTTCTTGTACCTTCTAGAACAACCTTTCCTGACTTGTTGTTGATGATGTTGCAAGAATCAGAAGTAAAACTTACAGAGTTTCCTTTATCACAGAATTGTGATATACTGAGCAAATTGTGCATTAAGCCCTCGACCAGGAACACATTATCAATGGAATGAGATTTAGATTTTCCAATTTTGCCTTTTCCAATGATCTTGCCCTTCTTATTATCCCCAAAGGTTATTGTTCCTCCATTTTGATTTATCACCTGTCATGTGCTTTGAACAACCGCTGTCGAGATACCACGAGTTGTTCCCCCTCACTAGGACCTGCAAGAAAACTAAGCATTAGGATCAGGAACCCAGGTTTCCTTGGGTTCCTTAGACGTGGATGCAATATTAGTTTTCTTGACCCACACTTATTTTACATTTCTTTTATCAGCTTCTTCTCTTATCCTACACTGTCCATAGAGATGTCCAGTCTTACCACAAAAAGTGCATACCTTCATGCTAGGAAGCTCAACATATTTCCTTTGCTTACCTCTCCTCTTGGTCATATAACCAAGGCCTTCAGTTCTTTTTCCTTGAGCTTCAGCTATCCACTTAGGTATGACTTTTGGGTCAATACTTCTATCCTTTCTAGCATTCAATTCCGATTCAAGTTGATCCTTTTGGGTTTTTAAAGTAGAAAGCTCATTTTTCAAATTTTCAAAATCAACATTGAATTTAAGCAACTGATCGCTTGAGGAATTGCTAGAACTGATATCAGAATTTATGAGCTTATATTGAGTTAGTTCAACATTCAGAAGAATACTTTCATTCTTAATTCTATCAGCTATCTCAGTTATGTGTTTGTATTTAAAATCAAGTTCTCTTAGTTTGCTTTGAGACTTGGCATAGGCTGTTTCCAACCAAGCACCATGTTCTTTGCAAACCTTAAGAGCTTTTTCACATTTATTCAACTTCACACATGTATCTCTAAAGAATTCTTCTTCTTCTAGACATATATCTATCAAGACATCTTTAGAGAGAGTTTTGAGCTGTTTAGGATCAAGAAATACCTCTTTCTGGAGTTCCTCAAGGTAAGCCTTTTCATCATCTGATTTGGCCATCAAACAAAGATTGGCTGTCTCCTCTTCTGGTTGATCTTCATCTTCTTCTTCACTTTCTGAGTCTCCCCAGGCTGCTATCATGGCCTTCCTCATGTCTGAGTTTTGATAGTTTGCTTTGCTGAATTTTTCTCTTCCCTGTTCCTTAGCCTTTCCTTTCCCTTTATCATTTTCCCAAAGGGGACAGCCTCTGATAAAGTGATCTGGAGATCCACACTTGTGGAAGCTGTAGTCAGGCTTTGGATTTGAGGTCTTTTTCTCGAAGTTCCTTGAGGTTTGGCTTTTCTTGAACATCTTTTTGAATCTTCGCACAATTAGGGCAGCCTCATCCTCGTCCACTTCTGAGTCTTCCTCCTCATCGGCCTTAAGAGACAATCCCTTGTTCCTCATGGGTTCATTGTTGACTTCAAGGTGTAGTTCATGAGTCATGAGAGAACCTGCTAGTTGTTTAATATTGAACTTTGTAAAGTCCTTCGTTTCCTGAAGGGCTGTCACCTTAGCTCTCCATCTCTCATCTTGTGGAAGACTTCTAAGAACCTTCCTAACCTGCTCATCTGTAGGAATCTGTCTACCAAGGGAAACCAACTCATTTATGATGTTAGTAAAGCAACTTAGCATCTCTTGAATGGTTTCCTTAGGCTGCATTTCAAATCTTTCATACTTAGACATAAGTAGATCGATTTTTGAGCGTTTAACCTCATTAGTTCATTCATGAGTAATCTGCAGCAAATCCCAGATTTCCTTAGCGTTCTTGCACCCCGTAACATGATTGTGTTTGTGAGGTCCAAGTCCACAGTGGAGCAATATCACAACCATAGCATTTATTTCCATTTTATCAAAGTCCTCTTTTTCATATTCAGATATAGGCTTAGGGATTACCTCGTCCTGAGCATTTTTTTCGGTGACTTCGAAATCACCAACCTCGATGACCCTCTAGACTTGGTAGTTCTCTGCCTTGATAAAGATCTCCATGCGGTTCTTCCAGTAAGTATAGAACTTGTCGTTGAACATAGGAGGCCTCTGAGTTGAGTATCCTTCCTCGAGCTTTTCATGAGTATTCATTTTCTCCAAGACCTTTCTTTTTCAGGGTTTCCTGATTTTCCTAGAAGTTAGGCTCTAATACCAATTGCTGTTTTAAAGAATACTACAAGAAGGGGGGGTTGAATTTTAGTATGAGAGATTAGCCAAACTTTTTGCGGAATTAAAATTAAGTTAGCTAAAGGAACTGAAAGATTAACTAAAGGAACTAAAGAATGCAAGAGAGATTTTACGTGGAAAACTCCTTGGCCCTAACAAGGAGAAAAACCACGACCACTTGGGATTTTAGGAAAAGAATCTTCACTATAATAGGGCAAATGATCCTATTACAAGCTAACGACTTAAACTCAAGTTCCTCTACGAACTTGAGACCCTGAGGAACAAGTCACCCAACTTGTTACTCTTCTCTTCTCTTTCTCTCTTCTCACTTCTCTGTTCTCTTCTCTTTCTCTTCTCTTTCTCTCTTCTTTTTCTCATACACAAACATTCACTCGAACTTCCCCATTCCCCAAATTACAACTCGAAAAGTAAACAAACTCTAGTATAAGAACATTAAGAACACTCTAATGGACTTGTGTGGAATTGACACTTGACTCGATTTGAAGCTTGACAACTTATGTGAGCAAGGGTGAGTTTTTCCATCTGAAATCATGAACTATTTATAGAGCAATAAACGTATTATAAAAACTTCTTTGTGCAGCAAATCCATCATGCCACTACTCATACCCACTAAGAAGATCATGTCCCTTGAATTAAGGAACCATGAACTCCTCAATGTGCAAAACCATGACTGAAGAAGAACATGGGAGAGTAGGCCGCAAGTTTTGGAAAACATGGGAGATTTTATTTTGTTAAATATATTTTCCGAAAATCAGAAAAAAGAGTAAAATAAAATCTTTTTTAATTTGAGAAAAAGATAAACGTTTAAACTAAAACAGCTTTCCTAAAAACTAGCATGCACAATATTTTATCCTAAGACCAATTCCACACAGATTTTTCGAGTGCAAATTAATATCTTATACTTACATCAATCCTAAAATATAAAAATATATTTAGTCTTTATGTTCTCTGATGAAGCTTCTACTCCGAGGCTTCTGTTCCTTGAGAGGAACTTCTCTTCTCTGATGAGGCTTCTTCTCTGAAGCTTCTGTTCCCAGAGGGAACCTTCTCTTCTCTAGTCTTCATTTCTGAAGCACCAGTTCCTGTGAGGGAACTCTTCTATATGGCTAACTCTACTTCTGGCCTTCTTGTTCCTCATGGTATTTTTACAAGACACTTCATTCTCCTAGTCTTTGTAATTGAGTACACACTTAAACAATCAAGCACTTATTAGTTTGTAAGTAACTGAGGTTGTGTCATCATCAAAATCATTAAGTCCAACACATCGGTTCAGTGGCACCGGTTCAAAGCGGTGCCCTTTTGATTTTTGGCACCGGGTTAAGCTGAACCGGTGCCTTTTCAATTAGTAGAAAATTGCGCCCAATTTTAGGCCAGTTTATGACATCGGTTTGGCCTGAACCGGTGCCTTTATGGGGATGCCTTTTTGTATTTTTCTACTAGTGTTTTACTCAATATTTAGGGACCTAGGGTTTCTATGTTGGTTAATTTAAGTGAATATAATTAATCATCACAACATTCGAAATCCTAAACATGCATCTAACATATAAAACATATATATATATATATATATATATATATTGAAAAACATAAATATAGATGCATTTGGCAACTAGCATGACCCCTTGAGATCTTCAAATCTTCAAAAGGTCTTCATTTGCAACTTCATGGCTACGACTTCCAAGAAACTCCATCTTTAAGATTTGACCATAATTAAATGCAACTACTAGTATCTACGATTAGGACTAATCTAAATATTAAGGTACAAAAATACTCAACGGTACGCAGACCGTATTTAGATTTACAAAAATACATCACGGATCGCAGTCCGTATTTTCTATCCTAATTGGGCCCCAGTAGTTTCCATTTCATAAAACCTGTGAGAGAATATACATTCCATTCATCCATTCACTATTTGTGAATGACCCATGCATTTTACAATCGTAAACAAGTAACAATGCAAATAAAACACGTGTAAAGTAGTAACTAATCTAGGTGGTTAATCCAATTAACACGCCTAATTAAAACTAGTCAAAGTTGTTTTAACCGGTTATGTAAATAAGCACAATTTAATATTTGAATCTCCCACTAAATTCTGCATCCAAATTAATTAATCCAATTAATTAAGCCGGTAATTCCCAAAAATTTGTCAATATATTTTGCCAATGCCGCTCAAAACCGAGGCCTAGCCTCCAAAAATTTATTAAAATAATTGAAACAACGATTAATAAAATAATTAAAACGACAATTTTTAAGCTAACGTAGTCCAAAGTGTCTAAGTGCCTAGCACTAAGACACGAAGTGCTCACATTTTGCACAACCGTTAGATGCTCAATGAACGTGGGAGTGGGCCCGATGTCGCTAAGGTTACACCGCCCACATCAGCGAATTTTCACACATCAAAAACTTGGCCTTCGATAGCCATATTGAACGAATTCATTGCACTACATTGCTTCGCGAGCAACGTCTACGCATACCCCTAATTACATAATACATGCACCAAGTTTAAACGATGCACCATGTGCTCGTGCCCTGCATCACCGCTCCCACAGCAACCCCAATTGCACGCAACATAGCACACACGTACGCACATGGCAGTGTGCTGCTGTGTTGCGCTGCTGCTGCTTGCGGCCGCGCGCACTTGCCACACAATGGCTGCACGCATAGGGCATGGCAGCCACATGCGGGCTGCTATGCAGCCCGGCTAGCCAAGGGTGTTCATGCCTTGTTTTACGTACCATTAGCCTCGGGATTTGATCCCCCCAAAAAGAAATTTGCGTGACTTTCGAAATTAATTCTAAATTAATTTTAGAACTAATTTTAATGAGCAAAATTAAAATTTAAATAAGTCTAACTCAAATAAAATTTTTAAAGTGCATGCAACCAAAATAATTCCCAAGCACCATTCTTTAATTAAATTGGTTTAACTTGGTGCAATAAAATAATAGGGCAAATACTCACTATTAATTTAATTAATTTAAATTAACTTTGAGTTTTGACAAAATATGAGAAAGTTGGAAAAATTAACATAAACTCAATAAAGATTCCAACTTTAATACTTGTGAATCCTTGAAAAATTATATCTTCTAATATGAAGATAAACAATTTTTCTATCACAAAGTTTCAAACATTATGATTCCAATCAACTAAAAAATGATTAAATCAATAAAGTTTAACAAAAATTCATGGAATTTAGTAATATAAAGTTTCAATCACTTTACATAATTAAAGATTGAATCTTTAATACTTGGAAGCCTCAAAGAACAACAATTTTACACTTAATGCAATTAGTTTGCAATTATGTGAAAAATAAAACCAAGCATTCAAGCACAAATTACTACAAAGTAACCATGCTTAAAGAGGTTTAAAATTGCATATAAAATATGTATTGAACCAATTACATAACCACCATAAATATGCAATTAATTTTAAAGGTTAGAAAGACTTAATTTTTTTTCGTAAAAACGAAAAAATCCTCGAAAATAGCATTTCTGGTCGTTTTTTGGCTAAAAACCGCATGCTGGAAGGGTAAAACCATTTCCAGAACACATTTTCCACCCAAAATTCACTTTTTGAGTTGAAATCTGGGTATGGGGCTGAAGGTAGCTTAAATACGAGGTTAAAATAGATAATACAAGCTACTAATCTAATTACCAACTTAAACCAGAAAAATTAGGGATTTGTTAAACATCGCCCACAAATTACTACATAAAGCCCACAAAATTCACTTGGTTTGACAATATTGCCCTTGACCTTAAAAAAAACACTCACACTCTCATTGCTCATCTTCTTTCAACCTCTCTTAAAAAAAAAATAATTCAAACAACGGCAATGTCGAGGCGGCAAGGCAAGGAATTGGCGGCGGCGGCGGAGGGAAGGAGGTCCCAAGGAGGCAAGGTACAATTTGTAAAAAAAAAAAAAAAAAAGGAAAAACCGCCGTGACGGAGGTGGGGCGCCCTGGCTGGACGCCCAGCAAGCGGTGGTGGCGCCAGCTGCAGACGCCGCCACCAGTAGGCTGGCGCCTGGGCTGGACGCCATAGCCACGGTTGTGGCGTTTATTCAAGGCGCCGCAGCCGTGGCTGTGGCGTCCAGCCCAGGCGCCAGCCCAATGGTGGCGGCGTCTGCAGCTAGCGCCACCACCGCTGGCTGGGCGTCCAGCCAAGGCGCCCCCCCCATTTTTTTTTTTTATATTTGTTTTAAAATATTGTTGTTTTTTTTTTTTTTTTGTGTAATATATTTTTGAATTGTTTTTATATTTTGTTGTTTATTTTTATAAATTTTTTCAATTTTGTTGTATTTTTTCTATGTTTATATTTTGTTAACAATTATTTGTATGTTTTTAGTTTATTTGATTTGGGAGTGGTAGCAATTTTTCGTATAAATTTTTGTATGTTTATATATTTTAAAATTTTGTGTAGAATTCACTGGGTCGTCATGGTGCTGGGAAGAATGTAGAGCTTCTTAGTAGAAGCTATTCAGTGGAGAGGTCG